ATGTATAATCACGTAAATTGGTATGTATTCATAAACGGTCTTCACCTGGGTAGTTTGGAAGTCGAAGACAAATCATGTAACCATTAGCCAATCAAATTATAGAATTTTGATGATTGCCAGTAAAGCAATAATCAAGAACTTTGGTAAACTATTATTTTAAATTATAAAAAAATTTGAAAGACACTAAAAAAAAAGCATACAAATAGTTTGAATAATTATAATATAGTACTATAGATTAAAAATTGTAAAAAAATATGAATATACTTTTTTGAAATAAAACAAATATAGTAGTTGTATCAATCATTAGTAGTTGCATTAATTATCAGTAGTTGTATCAATTATCAGTAATTGTGTTAATCATTAGTAGTTGTGTTAATTATCAGTAGTTGTATTAATCGTCAGTTAAAATCATTGACAAAATCATTGTGTTATAGTAATATAAAATAATTGCATCAAGCATCATTACTCTAGATATAATATTTTTAGATAAACTAATAGAGAATTCATTACTTATAAATATCTAAATTTCTGTAATCAAAACTTCAAAAAGTTTTTAATAATAACCTGTAAAAAAAACATACAATTATATTTCAAAAGTTTAAAAATTTTTTGACAAAAATGATAATAATATTTTGTATAAATGGTATAAAGACAAAAATATAAAAATATATTTAATATCAACATTATATTGTTATTTATATAATAAATATCCTATACAATATAATACTATCAAGATATCCTTTCAATATATATCATTACTATTCAAGTTACGCAAACAGCAACATCTTATTACTAACTCTCTTTTGGAATAGATAATTATAGATTTGCAATTCTTTATAGTAGTTAAAAACTATAAATTTTAAAATTTTGTAAATTACTAAATTCAAGATACTCAATATCAACTCATTAATATTTTAAAAATCTTGTTTTTAAAAATTTTAATAAACAGTGTTTAAATTTATAGTATAATGATATTGCAAAAATATCTAATATAGTTTTACTTATCATAGATATTTGGACCTCTAATTTAAATAAATTATATTTGGGTATTATATTTTATTATATTAATAATAATTAAGAATTAAAGCACTTCTTATTTGATATCATCTTACTTACTAAAAGTCATATAGGATTCAATATAATAAGCACAATTTTTTATATCCTAGATGAGTTTAATCTAAATAACAAAATAATTAGTTTAATTATAGTAATATTTTTATTATTTATTTATTTTATTTTTTTTGATTTTTATTTTTTATTTTTTTAATTTTTTGTTTATTTTTATTTTTTTTAAAAAAAACACATAAATTTATCGTTTCCCAGCTTTTTTCATGGTCGCCGTGCTCAGTTGCTTGGTTGGCGCATAAATTACTTCGTAAAAATTTTCAATATAACAAACTTGTGTCTTCAAGTTATTCTTATTTTGTTTAAGCAGATGCAGTTCTTCTGTTGCACCAATACGATGAACTTCAAAAATATTAATCATCCAACATTTGAACTTAGCATTATACTGAAGGTAGGGAACCTGACATGGTGACTACTGGCATGCCACCCTTGGCATGCCATTGCCTCAAAAAATTAGAATGGCATGCCACTTTATATATATTAATTATATTTTTTATTAAATATCAAGTCAAATACTTTTATTAAATAGAGATAAGCTTAATATATTAGCATATTACTATACAGTATAGATTATAGTACCTCTATATCAAAGTATTTTCTATAAAAATTTTTGTAGTTGAATATAAAATATCTGGGTTCTTTATAGAGTAAAATACAGTACTTAGATATTTCTATATAATATATATTATTCTATATAAAATACACTTCTTGTATAATACTCAAGTACTAATTTAGATTTTAACTATAAACTATATCATATTTGAGATACTATAGTTCATGCTAAGTATTTTTCTTAATTTATTTTGTAATTACAGAATTATCTATTATCTATTACTATATATTAAAAGTGTATCGTGTGCAAGAACTTTTTAAAGTTACGTTTTTGATGTCTGTTATGCTTAAAACAGGTTATATAGTAGTTATATCCTGTACGTACTATATGAAATAGATATATATATATGCATATGACGTGGGTGAACAGATACATATAGCTAGAGTATGTTTGTTAAATCGTGAATTACAGTGTACTAATAAAAAAGATTCATGCAATTTAAGCACGTGGATTAAGGTTGCTTAAACATGTTTTAAAAATGTATAATCCTGTTTTGTAACATGAATTTAGCCTTAGCGTTAGGCAAACATGTATGGCTTATATGAATCGATAGTTGTGCCATTTAGCCACGTACTGTAGTACATACATACATATATACCAAAAATAGATATATTTTTAAATACTTCTAAAATGACATCGATATTATAATTATCGTGTCATGATTAAAACTATGTTCATTTTACATAATTAAATAGTTAGTTTATCGCATTGTCGATTTAAATCTATAATGTATTTGTTTTTAAAAAAGAAAAAAACTGTGTTCGTAATAGATTGATCTAATAAATAAATTTGATAGTTGAGCTCTATAAATTCGATAATTAATAATAATAACAATAAAATCAATTTCACTGACTATACTAATATAACATGCCTCCAGTAAAAGTAACATCTAAATCTACCTGAAGTAAATACAACAAAAGATATTGGGCTGCACGAACTGCTGAACAGAGAGTAGAATGGAATAAGAAATTAAGAGAATGCAGGAAAGCACAAACCCTAGAAGAAAGGTTTAATAAATGATTAGACCGCAGAAAGAAGAATAAGAATTCGTGTCGTGATTTTTTTGTTCAAAGACATGTGATAAGAGATATGGTTCACACTTGCAAGTACTGTAATGCAAAATTTTGGCTAGAAGAAAAATCATCAGGTAATAAAGTCCATCCAATATTTACTACCTGTTGTAATAAAGGCAAAGTGCTTTTACCTCCTATGCATCCACCTTCAGAAATCCTTATGCAACTACTTACGTTATCTATTCCGGAAGGCCACGAATTTCGTAAAAATATTCGAGCCTATAATGCGGCCTTTGCATTTTCTTCATTAGGAGCTTATATTGATGAATCTGTTACGGGACAGCGGGGTATCAAATGATCGAATATTAAGTTATAATTGTGTTAATATTACAGTAAATTAAGTTAAATACGATTATAATTTTTCCTATAGGTGTATATAATTTTCGCATTCATGGTGAACTATACCATTCTATCGGAGGACTTCTACCATCATTTTCTATGCATCCGCTTTTGCTCAATTATATATTTATGACACAGACCATGAAACACAAAATCGGTTAAACATTATATCATCTTTAAACCCCACTATTATAGAAGAATTGACACAAATGTTAAATTCAGTAAACCCGTATGTTTCAATATTTAGGCAAGCCCGTAATATATATATTAACAGTCCTACAATACCATTAAAACTTATGATTAAAGCGAATGGATCTAAAGACGCACGTCGCTACAATGCCCCACTGCTTCTGAAGTGGTGGCTATCGTAATCAGTGATGAAAATGCCAATATTTCATCTAATCGGGACATAATCCTTCACAAACACGAAGGCTCTCTACAGCGTATATCCGAATTGCATAAAGCCTATTTACCTTTACAATATCCACTGATTTTTCCACATGGTGAGGATGGATGGCATCCCAGAATACCTGTATTTGGGGGAATCAATGAAAACAGTCGAATTGTAAATATGGAAGATAGCAACTGTATTAATGAAGAGCATTCAAAAACAGTAACTCAGAGACAATATTTTGCATATATTTTACAATGGCGTCCATTAATTCCTCATGCTCTCCATTATACCGGTCGTCTTTTTCAGCAATTCATCGTAGATGCCTATGTAACTATTGAACAAGGTCGTCTTAATTGGATTTCTCAAAACCAGAAACAGATACGTGCAGAGCTTTATCAAGGTATGTAAATATTCTGTAATTTCTGTATGCAATTTATAACATTTTTGTACTATACTTCATGTCATTTATAGGTTTACAAGATGCTGTTGCTAATACAGATGGAAATTCAGACAACATGCAATGTTCAACATTAGGTTAGCGTATAATTCTTCCTGCGAGCTTTACTGGTAGACCCCGACATATGCATCAATTATATCAGGATTCAATGGCTATATGTTGTTATTGGGGTAAACCAGATATATTTATTACATTCACGTGTAATCCACGTTGGCCTGAAATTACTGCCTCATTGCTTCCTGGTCAAAAAGCAGAAGATCGTCCTGATATTATATCACGTGTATTCCGCTTAAAGCTAAAAAGCTTAATTAAAGATATTACGGAATATAATTTCTTTGGTGAGGTGGTAGCATATATTTATGTAGTGGAATTTCAAAAAAGAGGGTTACCTCATGTTCATATTCTCCTAATTTTACACCCTAATGATAAATTCTGCACTACATCTGACTACGACAAGTTCGTCTCAGCTGAAATTCCTAATGAAGATGACACTTTAGCGTATGAAACTGTTACGAACTTTATGATACACAGACCATGTGGTAATCATAATCCAAATGCTTCATGCATGAAAAATGGAAAATGCTCAAAGAATTATCCAAAGCCTTTCTGTTCCTTGACTATTGAAGGCAAAGATAGTTATCCAATTTATAGGAGACGCGATGATGGCAAAACTATAATGACAAACAAAATAGAATTAGATAATCAGTGGGTAGTATCACACTGTCGAGATTTCTGTATCAAATATAATGCACATATAAATGTTGAAATCTGTTCTTCGATAACTGCTGTCAAGTATCTCTATAAATACGTATACAAAGGTCATGATCGTGCAACAATTGAAATATCATCAACCTCTAAAAATATTTCTATAAATGAACTAAAACTATATCAGGATGCTCGATATATATCTGCGTCCGAATCGATATGGCAGATATTTCAATTTACCTTATATGAAGAAAAACCTAATGTTCAACGATTACAAATTCACCTTCCTGGTAAACATTATGTCACTTTTCAGGATAAAGAAAAACCTGTAAATATTTTACAACGAACTAATATAGAAAAAACAACTCTTACTGAATGGTTTACGGCAAATAATAATCTAAGTTATAAGCATATCACAAAAGATCTTACTTATTCTGACTTTCCTACTAAATTTGTGTGGGATTCTAAATTAAAAGAATGGAAACCTCGCAAAAAAGGAAACGTCATTGGCCGCATATACTTTGTCCAACCTTTAGCAGGTGAAAAATATTTTCTTCGCATGCTACTTAATACTGTAAAAGGTGCTACCTCTTTTAAAAATCTTCGTATTGTAAATGGGGTCCTGTATGAAACATTTAAAGAAGCTTGTGATGCGTTAGGACTTCTTCAGGATGATAAAGAATGGGACGAATGCCTAAAAGAAGCTTTGATGCTTCAATCAGGCTCGCAACTAAGATATCTGTTTGCAACTATTCTTATGTTTTGTGGACCTATTCATCCTGCCAAACTATGGAACAATTATTTAAATACACTAACAGATAACTTTCTATATCATTTACATTGTACTACTAATAATCTTCATAGTAATTCTGCCAAGAATATTGAAAACTATGCATTATTATATTTGCAAAGTATTCTCCATCTTCAAGGTCGTTCTCTTGAAGAATTCCTACCTATACCTCTTCCGTCTGCCATTCTTGAGGAACCAGATTGGCTTATTCATGAAGAATTAAGTTATGATACACATTTGCTTGCTCAATTTTGTGAAATTAACGAAATTATTTTAAACCAAGATCAGCATAAAATATTTTCTACAGTCAGAGAAGCTATTATCAACAAATGCAATAAATGTTTCTTTGTTGATGAACCCGGGGGCTCTGGAAAAACCTTCTTATATTCTGTTATTCTTGCGTGGGTACGAAAACAGGTGCTTATCGCTTTAGCAGTTGCATCTTCAGGTATCGCAGCTTTACTTCTTGAAGGAGGACGAACAGCACATTCCCGACTTAAAATTCCTATAAATCCTGATGAAAATTCTACCTGCGCTATTTCACATAATTCACAATTAGCACGTCTTCTACAACGCGCAACTCTAATTGTATGGGATGAAGCACCCATGATACAACGTTATGCTCTTGAAGCAGTAGACCGATCACTACGTGATATCATGAAAGCTGTTGATCCTTTGTTGAAGAAAGTTCCTTTTGGCAGAAAAATAATTATTTTTGGTGGTGATTTTAGGCAAATTTTGCCTGTCATCCCGAAGGGAGGTCGTGAAGAAACGGTTTCTGCATGCATCTATAAATCTCCGCTCTGGTCACATATTACGGTAATGAAATTAACGATTAATATGCGTCTCCAGTGCATTATAAATACTGACATGCAAACAAAATTTTCTGACTGGCTCCTCGAAGTCGGAAAAGGACGTATACCTACTCTTGATGGCACAGATGATATTATTAATCTTCCTCCTGAGATAGTTTTGCATTCCACTTCACTGTCAAATCTCATAACTGCCGTATATCCAAATCTAAATACTTTTCTTAATAATCCTAAATTTTTACTCAAACGGGTAATCTTGGTTCCCCAAAATAAGCATGTTATCGAAATTAATAATATTATTATGGATTCTTTTCCTGGTAACATTCATAACTGCCTTAGTGCGGATACCTTAGATCCTGCATCAACGACTTCTACTCAACTGAATCTTTTTCCGGTAGAGTTTCTAAATATGTTAACCTTATCAGGGTTTCCACCGCATGACTTAAATCTCAAAATCGGTTCTCCGATTATGCTATTACGCAACATCAATCAAGCACAAGGTCTATGTAATGGCACACGTTTAATTTGCAAAGCTATTCACAGACATGTACTAGAAGCAGAAATTTTACAAGGCCCACACGCTCATACTCGAGTCCTACTTCCCCATATATCATTCTCATCGAGCAACAATAAGCTACCCTTTACATTCATTCGCAGGCAATTTCCTGTAATACCTGCCTTCGCTATGACCATAAACAAAAGTCAGGGGCAAACATTAGATTCTGTTGGCATATATCTACGTGAACAGGTATTTTCTCATGGCCAGTTGTACGTTGCGCTGTCTCGAGTTACAGATCCAAAAAACTTATTTATTCTGCTTCCTTCTTTTGACG